AAAAAAAAAAAAAAAAAAAAAACACAATAGAGAAACTAATGCAGCTTACATACCTTATATCACTCAAGTCTGGATAGGTTGCTATCGCTTCTTTAAAATCCTAATTTCAACAAATCAAATAGCGTAACCATCAGGGATATACTTGGCTAAGTTGAGGGAAAACATGTTGCCTTTTATCTATTAGTGAGTCCGGGAACATAACACATAAACTACGGAGCACATTCTGACCTGGTCAGCTGTGGAAGCTGTGTAGGTTATGACACATTGCATTCCTGCTTTTGTTGCGGCCTAAAAATGCAAAGGAAGTTTTGACGTGAGTTATATATGTATAAATTATGGTTTTAATCCACCAAGTTCTCAATTTATAAAATGATAGCTAAAGAACAAATGATATACCTGCAAGCCAATGACACTGTCCTCAACCACCAGGCAATCCTTTTCTGACACGCCTAGCTTCTGCAAGGCATATGTCACAGTTAAAATAACAATGCATGCCCTCTTCATGTCAAGAGAGGAAGGTTTCAAAGTCAAGAACTAAGTATAAGTTACTTTTGAAGCTACTATGTAAATGGATGGATCGGGCTTCTTTTCCTTCACATCGTCACCTATAAAAAACAAAGGAAACCTAAAAATCAATTGAGCAGCAGGACCAACTGAACTGAAACAAATGGATATTATCATTGATATATTGAAGGAAAACCTAACGGTTATTAGACAGGACAAAGGAAACCGTTTGAAGTTCACCCACTACATGGGTAGACATTCAATTATCCTACAGCAAAGGCTCTGAGGTATTCCTTCAAGCTTATCACCCTCACCGTGCATTCAATTTCTTCCTTATAGTTGAATAGGCATATAAGCAATAATTTACAATCGTCAAACATACCACAAGAAAGTATTACATACGAAAAACAGTAATCTTACCAGCAAGGAAGCAATCAAGATTTTGAAACCGATCCTAAAATCAGAGAAGCACATTAAATCATTACCTTGATAAGAGGAAAATTCGATTCTAAATTTATTGAAACCAAGTCTAAAGGCTTACAATTCCGATAAGGTTTTCAAGGCAAAGAATAACTGAACTTTTGGTAGCTGCAGAGCATACGGCAAGTTTCCTGCCCTACAAAACAATATAATATTTTACCTTAATATCTTAAGAAACTTGAAGAAAATGAACAGAGAAATGCACCCAACACACTGGCATGTGCTTTAGAAGAGGAACACGGATCAAACGACCGCAGATGACATCCGGTAAAAAACAGTAGTTGGTAATGTAAGATGATACCCCTCCAAATGGGTTAAGATAGTTCAAAATTTGAAACCTTATCCAAATAAAAAGCATCAAGATTGCTAACTTATATTACTTACAGCAGATTTTGCCTCGTCCATCAGACTTAGAACTCCAGGCCTGGGCTTCACCTGATAGAGTGGAAGCAATCTGTGTTACAAGCCACTCAAGCAACACAATTTATAAAAGTTGCACAAACGAGATCAATGAAGCCGAACTATTTCCTTACAGTTCCAGACTTGATTATTTCTTTGTACCTTTCTGTTTTCCAATCCTACAAGATCAAAGAAAGGGCTTTAATAGAATCTCAGTAAGTCAGAGCGCAAAGTGTATCACGCACTTGCTTATTAGCACAAAATATATGGATCACAACTTTAGAATCAATAGATCAGTTAAAACAAATAAGACTATGCAAAAACTAAACCTTTTCTATGAATGCAGAAGGACTCCTCAACAGTACATATGTACGATACTAATGCAACATAGAGAGAATCAAACACAAGAATCCAATTTATACATTATAAATTGACACAAAATATGAAAACGCTCATAGCCCAAAGGAAGATAACATGAGCATCACATTGCTATAACAATATCGATGCAAGTAAGGAAATTAAATGGATATGCCTGAAGAACGTCAATCAACTTTGCTCGCTCCTCATCATCTTCCGGAGCCTTCTCGAGAATCGTTGAAGATGGCCATCCAAACTCCTTGAAGTACCTAACAGACGCGAAAACCGCCTTGAACACACGCATTACCATATTACTAAGAATGACAGTAAAATTGATTAAAAGAGAACAATACCATAGCATTTTCGGTTTACCGCCTCCAATGCGGTTCTGGAGCTCGTCATAGAACTCGATGCTCCAATTGAGAGGCTGCGACGCCGAATTAGGGCAACGGACGTCGAAATGAGCAAACGCATCGTTATATGCTTGTCGGTGCAAGTGCTCGGATTCAAGGATCACGCCGTCGCAGTCGAATATTAGAGCTTGTAAAGAAGCTGAGACTGAAAGGGAGAAAGGTTTGTGAGTAGTGGATTTTCTGGAGGTACGGAAGCGAATGGCTGTGGGAGGAAGAGATCGATGGAAAGAAGGCGAAACCAGATCGGAAGAAGAGAGTATGAGATTGGGACGAACGAGCATCGTAGAAATGCTCGCCATGGCTCTGAGATGGAGAACCAGAGCAGGTTCGAGTTTCTGTGGCGCGGAATGCTCCCGGCAACTTAACGGATTTTGCAACCGTTATATACCGCAATTATGACCCTCTCTCAATGTCTCTTATACATTATCACTACAGACAGATTATTTATGAGTGATCAACCGTTACTCTCACAAATATCCATAAACTTCTTTAATTATAATCATTAAATTATTATTATTTCAACATTTTTAGACATGTGGCTCTAATTTTACTAGGTGACTTTAGGTACTTTTAGGTACATGTCTCAAGTATTACATTTGAGTGACACATTCCTAAGTCCAAATAAGCTAATAAAAGAGTAATATAATGATTTTTCTACTAACCCCGTCGTTAACACATATTTGCTGTTCGGTCTGTTACATATCATCTTTAACCTCACAATATTAAAACGTCTTGAAGAAGTTTCCACACCTTAATAATAAATATTTTGGTATACCTTATTTAGTACACCACAAAACTAAATAGTCGTCTTTCTTTTTCCTTATTCAAAGTTCCTAAATAGAAGTTTCTACTTTAATATATAAATTATATATAAATATATAATATTTATTATGGATACAAAGAATCTTCAAACACGAGGAATGTTTAATTCCACCTCTAAAAATTCTATGAAAAAAGGGAGACAATGTCAATGAATCAAATGTATTAGCATCACCCGCTAAAGTTGACATAGGGACACGCCGGATATTAAATTAAAACAAAGAGATATTAATTCAATATATTAAAAAAATTAAAATATATATATATAATTTTTTCCTTCTTAGAATGTTTTTTTTTTATTTAAAAATTATGTTTGAAAATATAATAAAGGTATAATTTAGTTGAAGGAAGAAGAACGAAAAGTTGAAGACAAAATGTGGTGGTTTAGTCGCATCATATAATTCAAGGCCTTTGGAGTCCAATCGGATGGGATGGCAGCAGAAGGAAGAGAGGCAAAAAAAAGATCTAAAAGAGTTTGAAAAATGCAGCATCTGGTTTCATCTGTGGCTGAGGCTTGCTCTGTCAGTGCTTTACGTATATCCCAAGAAGATAAGAAAAGGCAAAGCAATGTCCCATACTCCAAAATAAATTTACCCAAAAGAAAAAACGAAGAAACAAAGGAGTTTTAGAAGTTTTTCCTCAAAAGAAAGAACAAGAAATGAAAAAAATGGAACCAAGTAAGAACTAGAAGAACTTAGGGGTTAAGGGTAGAAGGTTTATGTACAATAAATGCAGAAACCAAACGACCTGCTTTCACTCTGAACAAAGAATTCCATCCTTATAATGAAAAAAAGAAACAATTCAATGTCATTTACATAAACCAGAAGAATGGGAGACCAACCCTGTGTTTTGGACATGCAAATATGGCTCAAGGATTGAAGAAGTGGTTCCCACAGCGGCATTTCCAACCCAATGGCTTGTAAAATGAGTATCTGTTCCCTTGTGAGGATGAGTCAAAAAATCCCAATGGCAAGGCCGAGGGTGAATGCGAATCCATCCGAGGCATGCTAGGAACTTGCACCGCCATGCATGGATGACACTCGTTGCACTTGTTGTGGCAGCTTGGTGGGGTGGATCCAAGCCTGGTTTTGTCTTCGAAAAATATACCCTGATCAAATCAGCAAGCAACCAAAACAACGAAGCTCAGGAATAAAGTAACGAGCAATATGAGAAAATTCATGGAAGAGAGAAAGAAGGCACACCCTGGAAGGGGAAGAGGCGGAGAGAAAAAGAAGAAGATGAAGAAGCACAATAAGTAATGAGGTGGCCCAAACAGTAGGCAAATTCATGGTAGTCATCAAGTCATTGATGCCCAAAACTCATGGATCCATTGCAGCAAAGGAGTAAAAAAATCATATGCAATAAAGACCCAGTTGCCAGATTTTTCTGTTACTTTGATCCACTTCCACCCAACACACCACACCACACCACTCCACAAGTAACTAAGAGAGAGAGAGAGTGATGAACATTTAATAGAGGCAAGTGCAAAGGAGAGAGAGTTAGCATAAATTTGGGTAGGAAAGGGTGGGTGAGTCATAAGTTATCCGACAAGAACAAGAGAAGAGAGAAAGCAGAGAAGTTCTGAGTAAGAGGACAGAGTGTAGCAGACAGTGAAAGGAACAATACAGTAGTATCCACATCACATCCAAAGGACGCCCTATTCTTCCACTATGCAACATTAGGCTGTCCATCACTAGCCTGGCTGCTGCAAAGGGACCGCATTTACTCCCCTACTCTCCACTTTGCATTTGTTTCACTCTTCTTCAATCTTCACTGCCCATTGATTTTACATTTCAACGCTGCGCTGATGGCCATGCAGCGACTACCTCATCTCATCTTGCAACTAAGCAAGAAATAATAGCTGATGGATTGGACCATCGAGATTTCACATTTGACTGTGGACCAAATTTATTTGTTATTCTTGTTCATAAAACCCTTCTCCCCATCTACGAATGTACCAATGTTCAAGAATATCGAGCACAGATTTGAATCACTAAACTCCAAACTAGCATTTACTCAATTACTCTTCCTTAAATGCCTCATTGCACCAAAGTTGCTCATAAAGGAGATGTAGTTATCTCTTGGCTATAACTTCATGAGGTATTTGAAAATATTTATGTCTCGGCTAAAAGAATCAAATTTAGCCTAAACCTAACTACAAAATCCAAGAAAAGGAAAAAGAAAACCTAGTACTACAACCCACTAACATCCAACTGGGCAAAATATTATCAAATTCTATAGATCTGTAGCCACCTAATTGATCCAAAATGAATCAAAAAGTGTCATGTTAAAACATCCTAGCCATCCTAAATATAATATAATGATGTATAATAATAATAAAAAAAAATACGTTGTGTTTGCTCGTTAAAGGTGAAAAGAAATCCACCACTAGCAAATATCGTCCGTTTTTATCAATTACGTATTGTCGTCAACCTCACGATTTTAAAACGCATCTACTATGGAGAGGTTGGGATCTAACAACCGATGTGGAATCTAACAATTCATCCTCTTGAGAACCCAGCATTCTCACTAGCACACTAAACAGTGTTTGATTTTGATACATTTCTCAATTTGTGCGTGTATCTTTGCGTAAGGGTCATGCTAATCTTCTCTGTATTGTATCAATTTGATCGGATGTCCCCAGCCACATTGCTCGCCTGTCTCACCAGATGTGCTGATTTATTTTTGCAGGGCAACTAGTCAACTAAATTATCAACCATGCATCAGACCATTCCAAAACATTACAAAACTCCAAGAAACAGAGTCTGAGACGCAGTGAGCAAACTCAACTCCAGAACCCCTCGTCTGATTCTGAAGGCCAAAGAAGAAGAAAACACAAGAGGAGTACTTTTAGCTTTTTCAACTTCGTAGGACTCTTTCACGAAGTGGGAAAGAAATCGAGGGAAGAGAACCCATGCCGAAATGAATTTTGGCTCTCTACTCTGAAACCCTTGCTCTCACGGAGAATGTATAATTTCTTTAAAAATCATGAAGCAAACTTTATTTGGATATCGGAATCTCGAACGCTGTTCATAGTGGCACGAACAGGTGCTTAAAACGAGGTTTGTCCCTTTCTCGAGTTTGTAACTAATAATGTATTGAAAATTCTAAGATTAATAATTGCATTGCTTCCATTTTTTCTATTTTTTTAGAGGTATAATCTTGATTTTCCCGATGATAGTAGATGTGGGGATCTAGCATCCGCCTATAAGTAGCAAAACTAGAATCAACGTGGTGTTTGTCAAAACACCATCAATAAGTCAAGCGAGTGATGAAGGTATATAGCCATTGAGTTTTTGAGTTGGCCCGACAAAGAAATAAATTGTAAGCGATGGAGGTTTAGATACTTAGGCCAAGTTGGGGAGGTCAAGATATGATAAGCAAACAACGATTGGTATAATCTAACTACCCTAAGCAGCTAACAAGAGACCAGAGTGTGTCTCCATGTACAGATTTCATGAACTAGACATGACTAAGCAAAGACATATTCGTATAATCTAACTAAATCAACTCAGGCCAAGCCAAAAGTAGCAGAAGACATTATCTGATAAATTCATTGATCTAGAATTATGGTTATAAACAAATTGAGTTTTGCTCATACAATGCTAAGGATAACTCAACGAAAGGTCGATGGATTAGAACTTGTAAGGTTCTCAAGTTGAAGAGGATGTTCATAATAAAAATATTATGTCCATCATTGAGGCATAGAATCGAGTAAGTCAGTCACTCCTACTCTCAAGAAGGCATAAGGTATACTCATATGTACAGATGAGATTTTACCTAATGACATATGCTGTGGGGGTATTTCCTTGTTCTTCTCCATGTTTTTTTAATACTATTTTTCCCTACCAACTATTACATCCTCGCACATATTATTTTTGCAAAAGACCCAAAATAAATACCTTTTTGCTGTAGCTTTTTAAGATCTAATCAACATAAACATGATTACTTCTTTCTGATTTCTTTTGAGATTCAACAGTAAATCAGTCACACCCAGCAGAAAAATGGAAACTTTGACTGCATTTGCACTCTCTTAACCTACCTCATCAGTCTCTTTTTCCCATAAATCAACGAAAATACAAAAAGATGCATGGATAAAAAGTGTACCTGAGACTGCTTACTTCCGGTGTCATAGAGTTGTTAAGTCCTCGGTAAGAATCACAATGTACTTTCCAGACTATTGATCAGACCATTATAAGACTGCATCCTTTTGAACAGAACAGAACCCACCAAAGTCCAAACCCTATACTATTTCTGGCAATATTACGATTTTAATGATCTTGCTTTTCTTTTATCGTGTTTCATTGCTTTTAAACTCTCTAGGCTAAAGGGAAAGCAATAAACCGAACCTGACGAACTTGGCATGCCTCTGTCTGAGCACCAGCTTCCCTTCCGCAGCCACCAAATTGTATGGTTTCGATTGGGTAAGTGCTGCATGTCATATCTTCCATGACATGAAAAAAGCAACTTGCAGGTTCCCAGCCTGCCGTCTCTCCATTTGAATTGTTGTCCTCGTTGCCCGTGTAAAACGTCCCTGGACTTGACTAAGCAGAAGCTCAGCTACAACTGAACCTGTTGACTTGTTCTTATTCAGAAAAGATTAGAGAGGATAAAGTTGAATGAAGTACTGCACATAAAAGAAGACTGAACTCAAAAGACCGCAGTTATCTAGGAAGAATAGTGCTCGCTCAGGCTGCTACTCTGCAGTTACTGTAGCCCTGCAGATGACATGGACGAGAATGAGAAATTAAAATTATAGCGGTTGCGCAGAATGGATCCTACGGGTTCAATTTCATATGCAAACGGCTTTAGAAGATGGAAGTTGATGTGAACCACAACACAACGAAAAATCAAAATAACAATGGCTAAGCAGAATGTTTATCCCATTAACACAGTCACAAAAATAAGTACATTTCCCTGATTACACTTCCCCCAACCGCTTCACAATTTCTCTCTGGGTGCAATTTTCCAGTTCCCATTAAATCTCACATTATGGAATCCCGATATCTTTTCTGGCAAAAAATTATCATGTGATAAATGCTGGAGTTTAAACTGCCACCAACATTACAGTCCTTAATCCTATTCTGTCATTATGCAAAAACTACCATTCCAATTTGTATGAAAAGAATCCTAAGCCATCTCCATTCTCTTCTTCAAAGAGCTCAAACGTCTAGGACTTCCTTTTGATTTATGCGTTCGTCGATCAGATCGTGCCTTCCAAAAGGACTTTGTTCTCCACTACGCTCTTGTCTGCTTTCCCATATCTTTCCCGACTTCCCTATTGCTAGAATCAACTCAAGTTGCTTTTGTTGTTGTTCCTACAATCCCAACTCAAACAATAAATCCAAATCAGATTAGATGTCAAACACTCCTAGAATATGCAATAATCAAACAACAAACCTATTTCATTACCATTTGAATTTTTACTATGATGAGAAAACAAGCTCAATTTTGAAAAGCCAAAAACCAAATAGTTATACATTATTCTATCTTTTTATATTGTGTTCTTTTGAGTTTCTTTTTAATCAGAATTCCAACTTTCTTAAACACCAGTACCCTATGCTTCATCTGTATTAACTTAATTCACTCCTTGACAAAACTTAAAACCGTTGAATTAACGTTCAACAGAAGATTTAATGCACCTGCATAGCTAGTAAGACCTTCTGGATTTCCCCAAGCTCGTTCTCCAGAATATCTCCCCGAACTGCCAATGCTCGAGTGGCCTCAGAGGTTTTTTGAGCTAAAGCTGCAGTCTTCAGAAATTGATCAATACTTAGAGGCGGAAAATGGCATCTCATCTTAGCAAAATGTAAGTAATACAGTTATCAAGCCTGGTTATAAAGGTTAAAAGAATGATTCTATCACACCTTAAAGTTCATTTTCACCTTCTCAAAGTGTTATTTCATATTGCTACTGAACCCCTACAGCACATAAATTTTCTTCACTACCATACATCCTTGTAATTCCACTACAATTAACTCACTCATAGTCTCAGCTTCATGTCTTTTGTGGGAAGTATGTTTGGCAGTTATGAAACTGCCCCCTAACTTACATTTCAGGATTCGGCTCCTTAACAATAACATTCTATTGGGGTTTTGCTGGAGTTCAATGCCAAAAATTTCAGTACTGGGTTCACTTCGTTTCTTCTTCCATATTTACAGAATTCAAGAAATTGGAATTACAAATAACTACAACCAGAATTACCATTCAGATATCATTTTCTTTGAGGCACCTCTTTATAGAAATGATTCACCTTTTTTTCTGTTTTGCAAAATTACAGTAATCATTCATTTATTTTAACAAATATCAAAGGTTTCAGAGCATTTTGATGGTCCATCCAGATACGACTTCTTTGTCAGCATCATGTTAGTGTCTCCAAGGGAGACCATCATTTACTTGTTAAATATCATCTTGAAATTTCGAAATAAAGAAACAGCCTCAAAATTTCTGAGAACTATAATTACCTCCTCGACGGGCTTCTTCAGAGCCTTTCGAGTATCTCTAAACCTATTCCCCAGCTTCTCCAGCTGCCTCGACAATACTCGAATAAGCGTTGCCGAATTCCTCAAATCCTCCTCCAGTTTGTTAGTTCTTTCCACCAAATTCGCCTCCAATACACCCTTCGCCGTCTCTCGATATATCCGATTCCACTGCCGCCTACGAATCCAAGCACCAATTGCAACCCCCGCCACCAGAAACAAAATTGCGCCAACCAAAATCCTATCACCGAAGACCGCCAAAAACACACTCTTAGAGCTGGCTTTCACAAAATTCAAAGCAAAACCAACAGAAGCGAGCAACGACGTAACGAGGCAAAACAACTCAGCAGCTGAAAGTAAAGAATCAATATCGAAATCATCACCGTCTCTCCGTCCAGCTCCTTCAGATATAGAAACTCGAGGATTGAACTGATGGGCATTAATGGAACCAAAATTATAAGGGCTTCGAAGCTTGTGATCAAGAATTTGAAAATGCAGAGTGCTAGGGAATCGGCAAGGGGCGAATCGAAGAGACAAGCACGGATTCCGGGACAAGAAGGCGGAGAAGTATAAGGTTGAAGAAGGGGGAGGGGAAGGAGACGACGAACTCAGTGAAAGGTATTGGAAAGCAAGCGACATCGTTTTGGAATTTAGACCTTCAGAGCGTCTGATTCAATAAATTAGGGTTTTTTCAGACATGGGAAACGGGACATAGGTCCCTTCTTCGGAGTAGAAAATGGAAGTGGGAAGGGGTAAGAGAGGAACCTCGAACTGGAAGGGGGAAACGGCGATTAATTCAATGATTTACGCGCGATCTATTACTATATAACTGTAACCGTTAAACTGGATAACCACCAGCGTCCAAGTATTGGGCCTTCTTGATCCGCTACTTTGGGCCCTGGCCTTCTTGATCCGCTAATTTGGGCCCTGGCATTCTTGATCCGCTACTTTGGGCCCTGACCTTCTTGATCCGTTACTTTGAGCCATGGCCTTCTTGATCCGCTACTTTGGGCCCTGGCATTCTTGATCCGCTACTTTGGGCCATGGCCTTCTTGATCCGCTAATTTGGGCCCTTGATAGCCTTATTTGATGAATTCAGGGAGAAGTAGAATTACATTTATTTACGCATGAAATATCTCCTTCATATAGTTAGTAGGGCCCAAATTAGCCCTTTCATTACTTTGTGAGAGTTTCAGAAATTTAAAATAAAAATCGTTTTATATTTAAATTTTAAAAATGCATGGAAGAGTTCTCCCGCGCCACGTCATATAATGGGAAAAGAAAAGGGACCACGTGTCCTTCATTCAAAGAGTGGACCACTATTCAACCACGTTGATTAAATAAAATTTGCCGAAAAATCATCGCTAACCTTTAAAACTTGAAAATTGCATAAATCCCTAAAATTCTTATTCCAATTAAACCCTCAAATTTTTAGATTATTACAACCACGCCCTAACACCTTACTACTTAAATCTGAAAGTATAAAATGTAATAGGGAATTAGATATAGTCTTTTTTTATTACAACAAATTGAAACGTAGATTTTTAATAACAATAGTCATGGTCAATATTTAATTTTTTTTCTCTCTTATCCCAATATTTACTATAAAAAAATATTTTAACAAAATTGAACAATAAAATCATATATCTACCTCATTAACATAATTAAAATATTATATTATCATTATCACCGGTAGTTGATAAGATCGGTATAAATTAATTTTATATATAATTTCAATAATTTTGTTTTTTTGAATAAAAAGAGAAAAGAAAGTCATGGGTAGATAATCAATCATGAAGTAGATGAACAAAGGAACGATCCCGGGAGAGAAGGGTAGCCGCCATTGCTTCATTATTAACTTTATTTGTGTTAGATTTTTTGTTTTAGGGTTTATAATCCAATCTCTGGCCTCACCTACCCCGTGTTTTCCTAATTGGTTAAAGCAGACTTTTCTCAAAGCAGAGCCCCCGCTTGGTAATGGGTTGGAAGGAGGGTTGTTGGGTAGGAACCATTGCCGCTGGTCAAATATGATGACCCAGTTTTTATTTTCTCGTCTTGTCTTGTTTAATTTGTAGTGTGTGTTTGGTGAAATTATTTATTAATTCAACGCCGCCAGCCCTTTGAAATCTGCCTCTCCTCTCCACTTCCTCCTCTCATCCTACCTACCGAACCCTTCTCCTCTCTGTATTTCCCTTTATAAACACATTTTCCACATTCGCTACCCATCTCAGAGTCCCCCACCTCTTTGATCTCTCTTATTAACAACACCCTTGTTTCAGAGTGCTCAATCGATTCCAAAAGAGATCTAAGAACCCTAATTTGAGCATTTGCCATGGCTCTTTCCAACTCCGCCGCTCTCTCTTCCTCCAAATTGATCTTCAATCCCCTTGTTGAGCCTAAATCTCACCAACCCATTTCGTTTTTTGCTCCATCCAAGACCCATTTCAGGCTTCGCCAACGAATCTCCGCCGTTCATTCTACAGAGCCGGCTAATGACAAGGTTGTCGCCGAAGCCTCCAGTAAGAAATTGGTGGCGGCGCCGTCTAGGACCGAGAAATGGGGTTTGGAGAGCTGGAAATCGAAGAAGGCTTTGCAGCTTCCTGAGTACCCAGATCAGGCGGCTCTCGAATCTGTTCTTAAAACCATTGAATCGTTTCCTCCCATCGTGTTCGCTGGTGAGGCTAGGAGCTTGGAGGAGAGGCTCGCTGAAGCTGCCATGGGTAATGCTTTCCTCTTGCAAGGTGGGGATTGCGCTGAGAGCTTCAAGGAGTTCAGTGCTAATAATATTAGGGATACATTCAGGATTCTTCTCCAGATGGGTGTTGTTCTTATGTTTGGTGGGCAAATGCCTGTCATTAAGGTACATCCATCTCTGCCCTTTATGAATCTTTTGTTGTCTACGGATTATTGATTGTCTAATTCATTTAACTTCATCATTCATTTAGGTGGGAAGAATGGCTGGTCAATTTGCAAAGCCTAGATCAGACCCTCTTGAGGTAAAAGATGGAGTAAGTCTTCCAAGCTACAAGGGAGACAATATCAATGGCGATGATTTTACTGAGAAGTCAAGAATTCCAGACCCAGAAAGGATGATTAGAGCTTACACACAATCTGCTGCAACTCTCAACCTTCTCAGATCCTTCGCCACTGGAGGATATGCTGCAATGCAGAGGGTCACTCAATGGAATCTGGATTTTGCTGAAAACAGTGAGCAGGCAGACAGGTAAGCCTAGTAGCTTTAATTATGCTTGCTCCATGATCTGATTAGAATCAGCCAATTGTTGTAGCTCTAGATCTTGAAAGATTAGATAAGTTCTTGAGTTTTTTAGTCACTAGAGAATTAAGTGTATTCTTAAATTGCTCAATAGGTATCACGAACTCGCTCGTCGTGTCGACGATACCCTTGGATTCATGGCTGCTGCCGGGCTTACAGTCGACCATCCTATCATGACAACAACTGAGTTCTGGACTTCTCACGAGTGTTTGCTCTTGCCTTATGAGCAATCACTTACCAGGCTGGACTCAACATCTGGCCTTTACTATGACTGCTCAGCTCACATGCTTTGGGTCGGGGAACGTACCCGACAACTCGATGGTGCCCACGTTGAGTTCCTTAGAGGGGTTGCTAACCCTCTTGGAATTAAGGTAGTTTCCTAAAGCTTATTGATTTGGCGAGATGATCTAATATTTGTTGATAAATCAAATATTATGCATGAGAAACAATGGTTAATGTGGTTTTTGTAATGCAGGTTAGCAACAAAATGGATCCAAATGAGCTGGTTAAACTCATTGAAATCCTCAATCCTGATAACAAACCAGGAAGGATAACTGTGATTGTAAGAATGGGCGCTGAGAACCAGAGAGTGAAGCTTCCCCATTTGATTAGAGCTGTACGAAGGGCAGGGCAAGTTGTGACATGGGTCTGTGATCCAATGCATGGAAACACCATTAAGGCACCCTGTGGCCTCAAAACTCGTCCGTTTGATGCCATTCTGGTATATTTCTATCCTGTTCTTCACCCTACAAAACCTGCAATAGCCCTTTTGAATCAAAATTTTGCTGTTGGTAACTTCAGTTTATTGTCCCCATCATGACATGAATGATCTAGGTCTGTGTTCTAAACTAAGTGTCGAATGTTTTTCTTATAGGCCGAGGTCCGAGCTTTCTTTGACGTGCACGAGCAAGAAGGGAGCCATGCGGGAGGGATTCATTTGGAAATGACTGGACAGAATGTGACAGAATGCATTGGAGGATCCCGAACTGTAACCTTTGATGACTTATCGTCAAGATACCACACGCACTGCGACCCGAGGCTGAATGCTTCTCAGTCTCTTGAGCTTGCTTTCATCATAGCAGAGAGGCTTAGGAAGAAGAGGATTGGAAAGCAGAGCCCTCTTTCCCCAAGCTTCATTTAAACACCAATCATGTTTGACTGTGAATAAGCCTAGAGTTGGTATTCGCCAGAGATTCAAATTCAGTCTATCAATATATGAACGCCAGGAGGTAATTGGAGTATTTTGCTGTGGAGAGTTAATAAGTGAACTCTAACCAAAGAGTTGGAGGATCACAAGTTTAGGACTAGTCGATTTAGATTTCCAAGTGTTTCAATGTAAACATTACCTAATTAACATTTAAGCATTGAGATGAAACTTGAATATTTCTTGGTTATCAAATTGACTATATTCCATCAAATTATCTCGAGTGAAACTGGCAACAAAGCATACATTGATCAAACATTTCAACCCTTTGGGGATATATTGATTCACTTAAAGCACGTTTGAATTCATCTAAAATGCACATGTTAATTGAGGTTATATCTTCTACATCTACATTTGTTGAACAAAAAACAAATAAATAAACAAACTCAACATCCTTGAATAAACCATGCAGTCTTTTTCCTATCAATTTTGACCCCTATTTTAATTTGAATCTCGATGTGGAAGCAGTTTGATGGTTGCGGCTGATCCATAACTCAAAACTGATCTGAGGTATGGCTGAACCATAACTAAATTTAAACTTGGAAGCTAAGTCAAAAAAATTTAAATCATACCAACCAAACTAAAATGTAGGGATCATACTCATAATCTCACCTAGACTAGATTTAGTTGCTAAAAAGTAGAAATTCCAGAAAATCTACTCTACGGAAAAGCTAAAGAGTTAGTTGCTAAAAAGTTTGGATATCACAGCCAAATCATCATACAAAAAGTTTGGATATTACCGTATATCATACATTAGATCATTGATATAATTCGACATCGAATGGCTAAAGATAATCAAGTCCATAGTTCTATAGGCTCTAAATCGAAGTGAAGTCATAAATATAGATTCATATGGCAGTCTAGTTATGGGCAATGCCCTCCTAGTAGTATGGCATGTATCGCATGGGCCTTCGGTAACGGGGAGTCTTCCTGCAGCATGAAGTAAGGGACGTGATTCATGTATCAAACAGTGATAAAAAGTGAATATATGTTATGCAGGAAACTTACCCATATCCATATGGTGAGTAGAAATACGGGGGTACATATGGCCTCCTGGATCGATAACCCATGTAGGGATTGTAACGCTGAGGGAAATACTGCTTCATCCCAGGAATATTAGTCCGCTTTTGTTGAACCTGAGATGAATAGAATGATATTAAATCCATTGGTCATAGTTATTAGAATTTGAACTACGTTTACAGATACCGGCGTTAATAATACAACATAGGAACAGAAGCATCTATCGTCCTTCTCGAAGAACTACCTTCAATTGTCTTCCATGCAACTCTGACTCATTTAAAAGGAGTGCCTCCTGAACAGCCTCGGCTTCAAGGAACTCCACATAAGCGAAGCCCTTGGGTTGACCAAATTTATCTGTAAGAATGGTAACCCTGTTGACAGTACCACAAGATTGGAAATGCTGCTGCACTTCTTCAGGTGTACATGCATAATCAACCTGCACTTACAATTTGTCAATGATTATTTAATCTAAGACGCAATTTTCTATAAACACAAACTACATCCTAATTTAGCATAGAAATCCAGGCGTATATACAGTAACCAAAGAGAACTGTCCCAAAAGTTATGCATATTTCATTACATTCGAAGTAATAGATAGCTCAAACATGTTGATTGATTATCCTTTAACCTGGATCTAAGGATCATGCGATCCTTAACCTCAAAAGTCACAACTAGAACAGAAGATGAATCAATTTTTATGCGTTAGCTGCTCCTAGAGCAACTAAAAAGTAAGTGAACTGGTCTATGATACGTACGCCAACATTAATAACCGATGACCATGTCTTAAAAGAAATCAATATTCAGGTAATTCTTGAATACATCATGACTCGTGACAATCACAGAAGGCTCTTTTAACTTCATATATTTAGTTCAAGATATGTCAATGATCAAATGGACATAAGCTCAACTCTATTAGTTAAAAGAAGGCAACTAGGAAAACTTATACAAGAAATAATATAACTTCTGTTGGGGACTAGTTTCTCATGTATAAACCTGTAATGCTATTAGAATAGTTAATTTTAGTGTATGACTAGTATTTTCACCTCACTTCAAGCACTGTCTACTCTTAAAAATACACTGTTCATGTGCACTAAAGTATATCTCCTTCAGATAGGAGAAACTACATGAGCGATTCTCATCACCCATCTCCATAAATCCTAAAGCTATCTCACCTACTACTTCTAACTCTCCACCACCTCAAGTTGTCATTCAATTGGCACTAACTTCAAGTAAATCATTGGTAACTGCCGAAGGTCCCATTTCACGAGGAGGGCAACTTCCATAAAAGGAAACTCAACATCTCTTCTGCGTAGATGGGCTACTTATTTGAAGCACAGACGGAAGCTAGAAACGTATCAACTCTTATTTCACTAGGCACTCATAAAACAAAACCTTGCGAAGTAAAAATCAAAAGGAGGAAATTAATGTTGTTAAAGCTATCCAAGGAGCAGAAACTGATCCACTGAGAATAGATTATTGTCAGTGACAAGTTTTCAGTAAGCAATATCTGCGAGGGAGATAAATAGAACCAAGATATCGATATCAAAGCTGCAAGAAAAGCAAAATTATGTACCCTCGCAAGGACAGTTAAATAGCCCTCATTTCTGAAGCATAAGTTACCATCATTCCCAGCAGCAACAATGCCCTGCAACTAACATTGCATGCAAATGATCTGCCTCCAGTGATGTGATCATGTCCTCATGTATGTTGAAGCTTCTTTAGTTCATATTCCCATCCATCTCTACTCAATTTCACACTTCGCATTTACTTCTTTGGTTCAAAAGAACTATGCCCATGTCATTTTCCCAATCTTCACATTCCTTTTCCTTTTTTTTTTTCTTGTTACTCGGTTCCCTCTATCAACTACAAAGATTTCTTTTCCATCTGTTTTCTCTTTTTTGAATATTCCATTCTTTCTTTCTCTTGTTTCTTTTTTTTTTTTTTTTTTTTTTTTT